ATGTAACATTTCGTGTTGACTTCATTGCTGGGCACAGTGCAACTACTGTGCTTATCAGCGATCAGCAATGTATTTAAATTCTATTGTTTTTTTTAACACATAACTTGGTCATACCAGGATTAGGAAATTCCATCACATTCTAGTAAGACTAACTTTATCAATCCCCAGGGAGATTCAGGAATGGGGAGGACCCACGTTTCCTCCTGGCTTTCAGTTATCCCAAGGATCTCCTGTTTACAAGACAGCTGCTTTAACCCACTCAGCCTCAGTACCACCTCACAGGACTGCCCCCAGAAATGATTCTATATTTCATATTTAACAGCTATAGCTGAATTGGGAATTGTATATGAATTGTGGCAATGCTGGTCAAAATTGTTGTTTTCTTAAAAACATAGTTTAAACATAAAAATCCATTGAACTTTGCATCCAAAATACAACATGTATTGCATTTGGGCTCAATAATTTATCAAATAATTTATGCCGCCTTGAAACATAAACTTCAGCTGAGATATGGAGGTGCATTTAAAATTGCCCAGTCAGTTCTTAGGTTCAGGAAGAATGGTGATAGAAAACGAGGAGACTGGATTCCTTCCTGACTTTTCTATATTTCATGGTTTGGATTTTGTCTTGTCAGCCAATAGGATGATTCAGAGAATGACAGTCGCCGATAGGAGAGAGAAAAAAAAAAGTCCATAGAATATAAAAAGTAAAAGGCTTTTTTGTTCATTATCAGAGCTGTAATTGCATTTTGTTTACTTCCTTCGGGGCGCACACAAGGACAAAAGCTCCTCTAATATCTGATGTGTACAAAGAACAGAAAGGAGTGAACAGCAGAAGGACCCTGAGAAGAAAAGAGACAGTGTTTGGTATTAAATTCTACATGGTGCACAGAGAGTATTTGCGTGTGTGTGTGGGTCACATTGGGGACCAGTGTGATACAAACCTGTTATTTTTGGCGTTATGGGGACCATTTTTTCAGTCATCACAAGGGGAAATACAATTTTTTGCCCGCAATCAAAAATGTTTGTTCAGCAATAAATAATATGAAGGCCCAGAGACAGTCTGCGTACATTGATATAAGAAAATGTCTAAAATGAGGCTGTATAAAGTTTATTATACATTTCCCATTGACCATGGAGGTCAGTGGTGTATTACACAATGGTGCTACATGGTAGGTAAAAGCTATATTCATAACATTCAGACATATTAAACATGCTGGCAGGCATCTGTTGGAAAAGAAACCGAGAAACGATAATATGAAATGAACTATCAGCCATTTTGTACATAAAAAGGGAGCTTAAAAATTCCAGACAAACACATCAACTATTGTAGAGTTCCTGCAAAGATCAAGTCCCACGCATGAGTTGCAAAAAAAAAAAAAAAAAGATAATAATAATGGCATAAATAAACAGAAATACCGTCTGCAGGAAGAGCATCGTGCATAGAGCCAGCAGATTTGAAGTGGGTACCAGAGATCTTCAATTTCTCTGTGGAATTCTTTCACACTCCCTTGCTGTGCTGACTTCTGGGTCCAAACACAGGAGTGAAATACAGGGAGCCTGATATGAAGGTCAAGCGCGATGACACCCCAGCTTTTATATTCGTGATAACGATCGGCCAAACGACTCAGCGCTTGGAAACGCAGTGGATTACAAGACTAGGCTACTAATATTTCCATCCATATACATGTTTAGGAGAAAATTAAAATCCTAAACTTAGCCAAGGAAGCAGTGAAGAGAAACAAAACAGACCTTGTTATTTACTTGCTATATTGACATTTCTGGTATTGTCCAAAACCTATGACATTGTTTCCCTGAATTCATATTTAGTACAGCTGGTTTTGGCAATCAAGAAATTAAAATAGCCAAATAAATAAATACCAGGGTATATAAGCAGATAGGATTCATATTTACTAATATTTTTCTTAAATATATGTACAAACATGGCTGTCTTATTTTAAAGCAAACTGAACTACTGCATTACAAATACCGGTTAGACACATTCTCAGTGTCTCTGGCTTCTTCATTTTATGTCCGTTCACGTTTTGCGACAACAAATCAAGTCAGAATTACAGCGACCCGCAGCTCATCTGAAGGAGAACACGACACGAGGCGGGACACCCTTGGCTGAGGTGCTGCTTCACTCCCAGTCACTCACAACATGATCACATGATTACAATTTACCCACTAAATTGAACAACGTGACTTTGGATGGAGGAAAGCAGAGAGGAGAAACACAGACAAAAAAAAACAAAAAGTGCACCCAGTTCTAGAGTCGAACTTCCTACCACTAGAGGTGCAAGACGTCAACTCCACCCTTCTAGCACCTCCATCTGAGGCGCTGTGAGTGACATAAACGCAGGAAATCAATGTGGCTCAACCAGAGACGGGACCTCCCCTTCTATGTCAGCCTTCAGATCCACACTGATCCCCATAGCCAAGAATGTCCATAAGTTTGAGAATAAAACTCCAGGATTCGCTTGGAGTCCTTGGCCCTGGTTACTGAAGCAAGGCATGCTGCCTTCATCATATAAATTAACATCGTTGCATTTTAAGACTTCCTTCATTTGCATTTTGAAGGTCTTTAAAAAGCAGAAATTACAAAGAAACTGTCACTCAGAAAACACACAGCGATAATGTACAGTATAGAAATTTTAAGGTTACCTCGAAAGAAGGCTGATGGATGAGCATTTGTGAATAATGCATTTCTATACAGATAATTAGGCCTTCGAACCATGCCATGCTAACTTATCTGTACGACTGCTATGTTCTATATAATCTATGTTTAACTACTTATACAGTATATGTGCATATATGTATAATATATATTTGTGTGTGAGAGTATGAGTGTGCATATACATACATGTGTATAAAATACGGGCACTGTTTGTATTTGCAAAATCTATGGCAGTAAAAAATGTTTAATCTACGGCCCAATTTACTTTTGGCAAATGAGGCAAGCATTTGTTTGCTGCACACTTAATGCACGTGTAAAGCATGCTTTTACAGCAAATGCAAACTATTGCAGTATGTTAATTACAGATGTACATATAGAATCCTCGCAGTCGGTGGTGTCCTGCACAGTTTTTTTCGAGTTATCCTAGTCGTACCACTGTGTAAATCTTAAAGCAGAAATTTTTAAAAAACGCAAAGCACTTTAAATGTTTCACAGAGCTGAAATAAAGCAGTTAACCTCAATTTCAGTATCTAAATACAAATCTGTAAAAATACTGAGGTAAAATATATTTTTGTACCCTCTTCCTCTTCTCGCTGTAGTCTCCCTTGCAGAAATACTTGACGTAAATAGTTGCTGTGTTCCATGCAAGGCATTGTATCTGTTCTCTAAAATCATCCTTAAAAAAATGTTTCCAGTGTATAAGAACAGAATCAGGTATACAGTCTGCATTTATATACATTTTCTTAAGTGAGTTTCTCTGGACAAACAATTCGCTGTCTCTTTATGAAACGGCAAACGTACATTCCCATCGTTTTGTGTTCCTCGATCGGCAAGCAGAGCAAGCTAACCGTACACCTTTACAAGGCAGAAGTCGAATGTTCACATATCTGCTGGTCAAAACAAGATTAGAGATTTAACAAGCACTAACAAATTACTGGTTATAAACAACTGTGATGAGTGGTGAGGGTAAGTTTAAGATGTGTATTGGAATACAATGTAAGTCAAATGTACATTTCTAACACTTTCCAAGTGCACCATTGATCGTACAGCAATAAGTGCCGCTTTGGAAAATGTCCTTCAACAAAAAGAAAACAATCAGGTTTCCATTTTTACATTTAAATTTGAAAGACAGGGGCTTGACACCAGATTCTCACGATATCTTCAAGAACTGTGCGTTTTTGTCGGTATGGCACACTGCCTATGAGAGCGTTATAAGAGTGCCGTGTAGCCAAGGACAAGTCTTTGTGTTGAGCACTGCGGGGTTGAGGTCTCTACCCATTGAAGAGAGTCCAGAGGGTTGTACTGGCGGCTTTATAACACCCATACATGTAGCGCCCGTCACAGACCCCATCACCTATCTGCCGAGAGCTGGTGACACACAGATTCTTGAATATGTATGTATTGCTTATTAAGAAGTCGTATGTACTGTAGCTTATGAAGGTGTTATCTAACATAAAGCCAGAGGTCAAAGGCCCCCGGGCTATTGGAGTTTCAGAGTGCCCCCTTTTATTTTCTGTGATATGGTGTGATAACAGTGAGCTCCTGTAGTTCAACAAGTAGAGTGTTATGCTAGCATCGACAAGGTTGTGGATTCAAACGCCTGCAAGCATAAATTGTGATCCTTCCCTCTAATTTAAGTTGCTTAGGATAAAAGTGTCAGTTGAACTCAGTTGTTGACCCCAGGTGGTAATCATAAAAGGCTGTCCGGCGATCTCATAAAACTTCATTAAACGAGGTCAGCTGAGGACCCCTTTTAGCAACGCTCCTGGGCTTCAGCACGTGCATTAAAGTCCCTGCATTGAGCCACTTCTGCACTAACCCTATACTGGCACACTGATGCTGTCATGCAGGGTTGCCACTAGAGATTCTGGGCCCCATGAAAACATATCATATTCGGCCCCCAGCCCAGACCAATTCAATAATTTTCCAAAGCCCTTGTCACTCAAAGGCCCTTGGAAATGTTCTAACTTTCCTCTGCTTTACGGTCCCCCTGCTGTCATGTAAGGCATTCCATATGAGAGGATGTGTTCAGCAGTGTAGATCGAAGGTGTGATGGCAATCAATGCCAAAATTTCACAGTTACAATCATAATCGCCTGGAGCTAAGTGAACTGAACTCCCTCCTTTGACTACGTTAAACATTGCCAGCTACATTCAACTGTCTCCAGCAATGAAGTGTAGACACAATGCGGATCTAGAATAGACAATATTTAGTGTGAAATACACACTGAAAAATGAATGCATGGATATGTGAGGGAAAATGCGTCTGCCGTCCATCAAAGCTAGATAAATGTAACCCATTAGAAAACCTACAGACCTCCGACATTAAAACCAGCTGAGTGTACAGCCTAATTTGCAGTTCCCTCACTACAGACAGTTGTTTTGAAGCACTGATTGTGTAGTGTAGACTTCCCTAGTCTGTCTTATTTGGGACCCGACCAGCCCCTGTCTCCAAAGGCCCCCTCACCGGGGGCAGAGTGTGGGGAGGGGCCACAGGGGGTACAGAGGTCAGAATCGGTGTCAGACTCGCCCTCAGCAATGTAGGGCCTGACCTTGGCGCAACGGGCCACACCACTGAAGTAGGTGTTGTTGAGGAACTCCAGGTTTTCTTTGGATTGGGAGATGCTGAAGCCACTGAAAGACCTCTCCAGCTCCTCGTGGTCCACCGAAGGAATGGAGACGGACGTGTCACTCTCAGGCTGTGCCTTGCCGTTCTCGCTGCGGGCGTGATGAGACGCCCCCCGGTGGCTTCCCCCAGAAGAGCGATCGTTAACCGGGGGAGGGGGGATGCGCACCAAGGAGGGGTCACCATTGGGTGAGTTGCCCTGACTGCGTGGATGGGACTCGCTGAGGGGATGCTGCTGCCAAGACGTGGATGGAGGACACTGCCCTTGAGACCCGGCACATGAGGGTGGAGCATCGAAATTCTTCTGGCCGGTTGAGCTAATGGAACGGATGATTTTAGTGATGGAGCCATTTTTCTCCACTGGGCTGTCGTAGGGAGGAGCCGGATCAGGCTCCTTGGATCCAAAGTAGGCGGCCGTCTCTGCCCGTGGAATGCCCATGCGCTGCACATAGATGTTGACCAAGAAGTCTAGCTTCCTTTCCATGGAAATCACCTACAGAGAAGACAAAACATGTCACATGTGGCTCCAATCCTGGAAGACAGCTGTAACTCCTACAGTAATCAGCAATGAGACGCTTCTTTATTGATGCCCAGTGGGGAAATTAATACTGACCTGCTTCTCCACTTTCCCCAGACGTCCCATCATGCTGAGGTCCTCTTGCATCTCGCCCTCACTGGTGCCCTTGGGCCGGTCCTTATCTGTTGTTGGGGTGCCTCTACCAACTATCTGATCAACTCTAACAGTTGGGAAAGGAAGTGACACCTAGCATAAAGCTTTGGCATATTATTATGGAACAGAGGTAAATAGCCTGTCAGTCAATCAATCAATCAGTGAAACAATGTTTAGATTAGTTCCTGTTCAGATCCTTGATGAATGTGTTCTAATATCGAGAGAATATATCCAGATCCTGTATGTCACAGGTTAATGTTATATCCATCATCATAACTTCATGCTATTAATGAAATGCATTTTTCTATTTGTCCACATGTGTTTTACTAATTGGTTGATTGTCAGCCTTGAATCTTAAAAGCAGAGAAGTATTTTCACATTTCATACTCGAAATTTTATTTCGATGAACAAAGGACTATGCTGAAAAATCAAGTGTTAAAAAGTATATATTTATATATAGACAGACACACACACACACACACACACACACATACACACGCATCAAAGTAAAAATGTCTAGATCTGCATCCTTTGTATATTTGCTATTGTTAATGTTTAGAGAAAGAAAACAATTCATCAGTCAACAATAAATGCAGCTAATCCAGCTGGGTAGGTGTCATGGGACAGATATATACATCTAGAAAGCAGGTGTAGAAGGCAAAGGCCACACACAGGCGGGTACGAGCTGGGAGCGGGTGGGGAGATCGCAGGCTCGTGCACTGCCTGGAATGGAATGAGGACAGTCACAGGGAGGGAGGGGGGGACACAAGGACAGATCCTTCAGGCCCATTGGTCACCTCTAAGTCGTTCTCTTCCATTACTTGCTTGAAATGTCCATGGTGGTGACAGAAACCTTTGATGTGCTGCTGTGCTGTGCAAGCTGGGAAAGACATAGCCCAGCTGAAGACATAGCCCAGTTGAAGACATAGCCCAGCTGAAGACATAGCCCAGCTGAAGACATAGCCCAGCTGAAGATGCTCCGATTATATGTATGCAAATACAGGGCTTTCCGGAAAAAAATTTCAATGAGCAGGAACAGACCACTCTGTTCTCATTTCAGACCTAAACTTTTCTCTCATGTTATTACCTATCCATAAACTTGTCCATAGCAAAATCTATGCTGTTACAAGCATCCAAAATGACTTATTTTAAAAGAGGGGTAAGCATAGAAAATAGTTCCTAAGAAAGGTTCTTAGACATGTACTTAGACATGACATGTACTGCGACAGAAAGCAGTATTCACTGGCCAGTTTATTAGGCATACTGGCCAGCTAATGCACATAGCTTGTGCCTCCACACAGTGAATCTAAACAGCAACTGAATATGTACAGCAAGCAGACAGTGATAAGAGGTCCAGTTACTGTGTGGGTAAGCATTAGCATGGCTGAGGCACCTGATGTAAGCGATTCTGCGCGTGGTGTGACTGTTGGTGCCAGACATGGTGGTTCCAGAATCTCAGGAGCAGCCCTCCTGGGACTTTCACTTACTACAGTGTCTAGAGCAGGGGTGTCAAACTCCAGTCCTGGGGGGCCGGAGCCCTGTGTAGCTTAGTTCTTTCCCTGTCCCACCACAATGGATTCAGCTCAAGAGCTGTGTGGCAATTAGAACAAGGAGTTGCGAGGAGTTGAATCAGGTATATTAAATGAGGGGAAACCCAAAAATGTGCAGGACTCCAGCCCCCCAAGACTGGAATTTGACACCCCTGGTCTAGAGTTTACAGAGAATAGTGAGGAGAAAAAAAAAACAATCCAGTCAGTTCGGTGGGGAAAGACACCTTGTCGATGAGAGAGGTAGATTCGCTAAAGCTAACAGGAAGGCCACGAATGCAAAAATATCAGGCTTCTCTCAATTCCTTCCCCCTTGAAAGGGATTTGGAGGATCTAGATCCTCCTGGGACTTTCACACATTATGGCGTCAAAAGTTCACTCAGATTGGCACGATGAACAAATTACATCCAGCTAATGGCATTTCTGTGACGGAAAACACTTTGCTAATGAGAGAAGGTCAGAGGGGAATGGCCAGATTCATTAAATCTAACAGCAAAGCCACTAATGGAAAAATAGCAGCTCAGTACAGCAGTGGTGTACAGAATGGCTTCCTTCTACTCATCTATCCTTGAAGTGGTTCTGGAGGTAAAAGTGGGCCCTACCCAGTACTAGGTAGGTATACGGAATGAAGAAACCTGTGTCTGTATAATACGTGTATGTGGGGGGGCGGGGGAGGACCACCTTCTCAGTCCCCACAGAGGGAAACTCAATTCTAAAAAATTGTGTGACTGCAATAAAAAAAAACTACTAAATTTAAGTTAAGTCATGTTTGGGATTAGTTTTTCCCATAGTAATGAGTCCCTACAAAGATATGAATACAAACGTGTGTGCATGTTGCATGTGTGTGTGTGTGTGTATTTGATAAAAATTTAAATAAACCAAAATTGTATTTATTTCTGGTTCATTAAACTCCTTGTGTAATATATGTGACACAAAAATAGCTTCCTGTACTCCTCCCTGTACTCAGTGAAGGACTATGCCTTCCCAGCTCTCCAAGTCTTGCACAGACACCACATTTAACCAGTAAGAACCAAAAAAGGTTGTCCTGCCAGGGCCAAAGTGGCAAATCGGGACACACTTCATTATGCTTCATGCCAGCATGCAGGTGCGCAGGGTTGTCAGCGTGTTCATTCGGCATGACCACTCGCTGCCGCTCGCCATTCGGGTCCCTTACTTCCTTACTACTGCATTGCAGGCACATTAGCGCAGTTTTTTTCTTAAGCTATGTGACTGCATACTTACCCATATCTATAGGAGCGCTAGGCTAGCAGAGACCGATTGCTTCTGTTATTGCAACGCAAAAAAAAAATCAGTATGTAATCGAAAGATGTGGCAACGTAAGCAAGGGTTTGGAAATAATGTGTCCAAAATATAAGCATATTAGTATGCGCAGACATGCAACTGCGTGTTTGGTGAATCGCATGATGTAAAATAATGTCATGAGTTGCAGAAATATGCTAGTCCAGTATGATGCTAGCTTTCCAGATTGACGGGAGAAAGGATGCTCTTTCTCTGCATCACTTTTCTTAGGCTGCATTACCGGATGCTGCCAGTCACTGCTTGGTTAACTCCCAGTAGCGAGTAACGAAGCAACCAATGGGAATAGGTTTAAATGAATGGGTGGCAGGTTGAAAACATCAGTGACTGACAGTGCGTGAAGGTCGCACCTAACTGTGGGATTTAAAGGCTCCTTTCTTCTGCAATCATACCTAATATCGCCCTGCAAGAACCATGCTGATGGTTTTCCTTCAGAGTGGTTCTAAAGGGAGATAAATATTATTATAATTCAGTCATTAGCTCTTGCTTTTCTCTTCTGCTCGGGTCAATGTAAGGCCACATAGCCGGAAGCAAAAACAAGTTTTTTTTTTTGTTTTTTTTTTAAGCTGATGGTCAGAGACAAATGCTCTATTAGGACAGATGCAGTCTGGTGAATTCTAACCTAGGCGAGTACTGGGGTGATTCTTTGAGTCCTTTGGTTGTGTACTTCTTATGGCGGGGAGTTGAGGGGGGAGGGGGACCCACAATCAAATCTATCCTGGCAAATAGAGAAGACACCAGCACAATGCATAATGAACGTGTGTGTTGAAAGACAGACATCGGATGAAAGAAAAAGGAAAAAACAGGGACTAGCTGGAAGACAAGGACATACAAGTAAAAATATATTCCACACGTAAGTCACGTGAAATCTATTTTCTTTAAATGGCATAGCTTAACTTATTAACATTACCATCTGATTGTACTATAATAAATTATGAATGCTTTATGAAGCTTTCATCTATAATGCACTATACTGTAGATACCATTACAATGCAGTACAAAGCATCCTTAATGCTTATACCGACCATTATAATGCATTATAAAGGTATCTATAGTGCATTATAGATGAGAGCTTCATAAGGTAGTCACAATGCATAATAAACATGGTTATAATGTATTCTGCCTCTTTATAGATATTTATAACCATATATGAACTATAATAGATTATGAATGTGTTCATAATTTACTAAAAAGATGGCCTTAAGTAAAGTGTTGCTGAATTTTTTTCCCCACTTTTGCTTCTTGAAGCTTGGAATATATTTATATACATATGGGGATGTGTTCTGGTGTCTGACATACAAAAATCTGTACTGCTAAGTGAGAGGATGCCTTGTGTTTACTTAGTGTTAAGCTTTTCAATTTCAATGACTGAGAAAACTCTTGGAGTGTGGATTTATAAGACAGTTTGATCAGGTGGGTGTGTTGACTGTTTTGGACTGGAGGAAATGAATCTCACTCCATGCTTGCAATGCAAAAGGCTTTTTCGGATCCGAAAATCCCTTTGTACATTCCCACAGTCATGGACTTTATCCAAGAGTTTTTTTTTACCCTTTGGAATCGTGAAGCTTTGACATAAGTTCAGAGGGTAAAATGTTCAGCAATTATGGACTTGGACTGTTTTATGACATTAAAACAGAATGTGTGCAATGGTGAAGATCCTTACCCACCAACCAACAAACATTATGGCACCTGGAAATTACAAATTAGCCTATGCTACATCCTATGTCAGCTTCTTCTAAGGTAGAAGACACAATGTGACACGTCACTGTAGAAACATACATCATGAACATCGAACAAGAGGGTCATGGGACATGCAATGCACAGTAAACAGAGTTGTTGTACCCACTGGCGCGTCTACAAGTAAAGTTTCAGACACTAAACAAAAATAATAAAATACAGGAATTTGGGCTGCTTATCATCTTGCCTGGACTGGAGGTTTTTAATTCGTGACAGCATGTCCAGGTGACCTGCCGAATACTGCTCTATGACATCCATCACGTCATAAGGCCTCAAGCTCTCTTTGAACTTCCTCTTTGAAACCATAAACTTCATTATGCTGGGAGAGGGGAAAAAAAGTGTTTAGTTTCAAAGTTTACAAACGTTCAGCAATGCTTCTGATAATAGGACAGCAGCATATTTTGCAGGGTCTTTTTAGTTCAGTGGCCTCAGTTGTATTATAAGCGCATGAAATGCTGTCTGATGCAAATAACTGAAAGGATTGCTGGGTTTTAAGATATTTTTTAAATATTGTGAGTGATATCTTCATTGCAAAAATTAATTATTGCCAATGTTTTGACAAGATGGATACATGGATGGGTGGATGAATGGATAAACAACCATGAAAAATAAAATCAGACGACAATTTTGCTCTTATAGCCCTATACGTCAAAGGTGGACAATTTTTCTACAACTTATGTGTATCATGTTTCATGCATGCTGGATATTCAGTTTCAAATTCAAGTAACAATTGTGACGAAAAACAAAAACATGGGGCACGTAAATAAATAAAATGTATATTTATTATATGTAACAATCATAAGGAATGTGATTTGAAAGGCTCATGCTCCAAGATGGGAACATCCATGTCAAACATTTACTGAAAGGAGGAATATTTTGTTTCATAAAGGCTGCAATTCTCTAATCGAATATGTGCCGATGTAAACAAAAGTGAATGAGAAGTAACCCTGTTCAAAGTATAGTGTGTTTGACATGGAAGACATGCCATTGGAGTGTCTTACCAAACAGCTCTGATTGCAACTTTTAATCCTGGAGTCAAGTCTTGTGGGACAAATTCACAGTGGCAGCTCTTATTGTCATCGACAATGTCTTCCCCAGGAAGGCTGGCTTCTACAAAACACAATCCAGACATCATAACTGAGCTGTCAGTATGGGCTGAACTTACTGCTGAGCTGCCAAGAAGCCCCACACGCCCCCCCCTGGCCATCCGCCCCCCACCCCACCCCCAACCTCTAGCCATTCAGGTCTGATGTCAGCATGGAACCAAGCAACAGCAAGGGAAGGCCATTAACTTGCAGAGCCCAGGGATTTTGAGCGTAAATCGTCACCTGGCAGGGAGCATGTTAATGAGCTGATGTCATGTCAGAACTTCCTGATGCGGGAAAGGGGAAGGAACGCAGCGCAATTAGAGAGGCGGTTTTTATTAGTCAAGGCTTTACCTGACTCCTGTGGCACAAAAATATCATTCCCTGACTCAGCTGTTATACACTCGAATCAAGCAGCATCTATGACTGTCCATATAACTGAATGGTTATGTCTGTCATCTAGGGTATATGTCTGACTCAGCCGTAGCATAAATAATCAGCAGTTCTTAAGACTATCAAAGCAATTGAAAGCATGTGAAATACACACCATCTGTAAACCAAATTGTTACAGAGCACATATATAGTGTAAGTCGTTTGAGTTACCTGACATTTCACATAATATATATAAAATAATTCATAAACATTTTTAAAGAATATTTAGGTTTCTATCTTGTACCAGATCTTGTTCGCATTAAAAGTAATATGCAGAATTCCCCACTAGTTTCTCATAAACATGAATTATGGTTCCTGCTTTAAATGGGAATTTAAATGCTGACTTGAATACCACCAGACACTGGCCAAATTAATAAAGCTCCCACCGGCTGCAACCTCTCAGTTTTTTTATAGCTGCGAATCAGAAATTGAATTTCTTCACAGGGCAACGGAGACCTGCCAGAGTGTGAATAGTTTTGAGCCACAGTGCTGACCTGTTTCAGAGACCTTCTCCGACAGCCTACACGGCATGGGGAAAAAGGTTGAAACGTTCCTTCAAGTGCAATCGGAATAAACGAATCCATTAAGATCAACTTGGGAGAATTTTTTTTCAAAAACACTACAGAGCCTTGAAAGTCCAACATATCTGCCCAAGGAGGCTGAAGCTAACATGGGCTGTGCGGTTTCACTGTTCTGTTGTTCTCCGCAGTGGGCCCACAGTGATCACCAGAACGGGAAGGTGATTTGACTGGATTAGCATCCCTCATGCAGGCTCAGAAGCAGGAGAAGCAGCCTTCAGAGCGTACAGCATCAGAGCTGCCTACTCAGGATTTCACCGTGTATTATGGGATGGCGGGGCCCTGTCATGTGCTTATGGGATGTTCTGTGAATGCCGGCATGCATAGCTGAGTTTTGCCTGCTGGTTTCGAATAGGGCTAGGTTTGTTTTGCTTGCTTTGGTGGCCACAACCCCTAGCAGATGTGTGATGTTTCCTTACTGATTAACCCTTCAATTGCTGCAACAAGTGGAAAGGAGAGACATAAATAAATTCTGTTAAGTGACTTAAGAAAATGTATATGTGCATTATAGTATTTAAAAAAAAAAAACTTATGCATTTATAATTAATTGCTTCAAGTTTAAAATGTTCCTTTCTCTCAGACCACAAAAGACAGACATTTACCTGCATCTCCTGTGGAAATAATCTGAATCTAAATGAAAATAAAATGATAGACTCCTAAAGGTACAGTCCAACTGCTACCATTGTTGACTCCATTGGCAAACCGCATAAGTGGAATCAATGGCTCCCAACGTCTTATGAATAGGGTGAACTAGTCACACCTGTCTGTTTGCATCACAAAATGGATTCTGTACTCTACTGTACCTTTAAGATCAGTGGCCTGGCCACTACCTTGAACTTATTAAAAGTTAATCAAATGAAAGCACACCATATACGTTGTAAAAAGCATGCACTAATTGTGCTCATTGTGAATTTACTGGCATCTACAACACTAATCTCGAGATAAAAAAAAATAAATTATTTCAGAATATAGAATTTTGACCTCTGTTCACACTGATATCAAGTACTCAAGTCAAGTACTCTTTCCATGATTAAATTTAATTTGTAATTTATAATATCACCTTCTAATCACCTTTTACTTCAGTAATAAGGGTTTACATTATTCTGAAATAATTTATCTTTGATTTGAGTCGATACATTATGAGAACAGGTTAGCGTGCAATATAAATATTAAAATCTGATATTGAAACATTGGTGGTCTCCAGTATTCTATATAAGAATGATTCTGGTCAAATGAAAATCAAAACAATATCATGTTCATGATATCTCAGTGTAAATATGTAAAAATCCACATACGTAATGGCAATAATTAAGTCATGGAGAATTATATAGCATTATATGCCATATGTATGTGTATGTATTTTAAAGGTGACACCTCTATATAACTTTGTGTACTAACTACTAACTGCTGTTTCTCTGGCTGCTGTAGTACATGGCTCTGCGTGAATATTTGAGTGGGAAAACCACAGAGCCACACTAATATAACATGTAGATGCAGGGATGGGTGCATGCTTTAATATCATGATTAATATATGTATAAATATGTGTATATATATAATAAATATTCAAATATGGTTATAACACAAACAAAAACATTGCAATGCAATTCACAAGAGTAATAAACCTGTCACCCACTATGTAATAACTTTGGAAAACTGCTGTTCATGAAATATATCTGCATGCCAACATTATTAAAAATAAAGCCATTTAATATAGCTGAGTGTCGTCACAGTGTCTCACAAGGGAATGTTAACACGACATACCTGTAACGTGAATTGGAGGCTAATTGTGTAAAGAAAGCACATTTATTATGTTACGGATAAGCCTGGGGTGTGTGCTAAATGCTTTGGTGCATCACTGACGAAGTCGCAGTGGGCGCAAACCTCCCGCTCAATCGCCTGACCTGGAGAGCTCTTCTGCCTGAATTCTTCATCCTGCATCTCAATCAGCACTTTAGCATGGCACCAAACAGAGAAACGGAAAGGAATCTGTGAGGGTCAGGATCTCAGCGACAGCAGAACCGACACGAAATGGGGGAGGCGGGGCATGCAGGCGGAGGCGGCGTCATAAACATGAGACGTGGTCACAGAACAAAACACAACCCGTTTTCTCTATTCAACCCGCTGCTCACATTTATGCTGAGGCAATCCCATGTTGTTTATAAGGCTGTGGGCATACAGGGGGCCAGCATCATCATTAGCCAATGACATGTTTTGAATCATTGCCTGACAGGGTAGGGGGCCTACTAGATTTCACCTAGTGGCCATGCATCTGTGAGCCCGCCCCTGTATGTGCCCCTGCCTTAACTAAATGGAAAATCAGCTGTTCTTTTACCATCTCCCAAGAATTCTGAGAAACACACCCACCCCGAGGCAGAACCTCATACCCCAAAGCACGACATCAAACGCACGCCAAGCACTCACAAACACTTCAGTAATAATTTATTTCTTTCTGTCGAAGGTCAGGAAGAGTAATGATGAGGCGGGCTGACACAGCAGAGCTACCCTTACCTTCGGAGTTCTGTCGCGACGCCGCTCCTTTAATGCGGAAGGCCTGCCGGGTGCGACTGCGGTCTCCAAAGCTCCAGCTTTTGGGCACCTTGCTGGGGCTGTCCTCCATGCTGTTATCGGCGCTGGGGGACCTGCACCTGCTCTGGCCCTGGGGCGAGCCCTTGCCCTTGGACCCAGAGTTCCTGGGACTTGAGAAGACCCTCTCCTTCAGGCTGACCTTCTGGCTGCAGGGCACAGGGTGGGGGGGGGGGTGTCATGCAGGAAAACTCTTTCTTTATGTTGCCAAACTTGCCAAGTCCTGCAGATTAATGGTAGTGTGAAGGCTAAAGCACATGGATTTGTAACCTGAAGGCCAGTGTTGAGTCCCACAAGGCCTCCTGCTGCGGCAGCCTTGAACAGCCCCAAAACAATGTCCAGCTATGTAAATGTTTAATCCAAGCAACTTCGTATCAATGATAACCAGAGGGATCTTTCTTTTTAGTGGAATTGGTGTGAATCTTGGCATTTGTGCTGGACAAAATGTGCAACTAGTAACAATTTCGTGTATTATCTAATCACATATACCAGTTCCTAAAATAAAATATATCTCATGAAATTTGTCAATTGAAATATATCTAAAATGAAATATATTTAATGATATGTATCAGTTGGAATTCATGAAAGCTTTTATGCAGCTTTTATGCAGCAGGAGCTGTATTTCATATTCATAAGAATATCTCACTGCGTTTGTCGCATTTGTCAAGGGCTGAGACATCGATTCAGCCTGTCAGGCTGACAGTGGGACAGTTTGATTTAGCCTGTCAGTACCCTTCAAACACAGCCTGGTTTATAGACCAGTTTTAAAGAAAAGAAACAACCATGAATGAAACCCCACTGAAGGAAAAAATAAGCGTTACAGTGAAGATAAGGTGCAGCTAGCTGGATAGCCCTTACAGAATGGCATTTTCAATGAGATGGAGTAATAACTTACATAGGATATAAGGGGGGAGACGTGGGTAATTATACAGAGTGCAATCAGAAATGACATGCAGACTGTCCCCGACTGATGACTGGGTTCCGTTCCGACAGACAGGTGGTAAGCTGAAATGAGCATGTTTTGGATTAGGATAATCGCACTGACTTTTAGGTGTGAAGATGTGACTGGGACATGTGCGTGAGGCTGGGATGGTCACACTGCCACAAAGCGCAGTCCCTGCAGCACCTATCATGTGGCACATACAGTCGTGTGCACTTCCGGGTGCAGGGTTATCCAAAATGTATTTTTAAATACATTTACTTAGTTTTTTTTTTTTTTTAAACTTTGATCATAAGTTGCACAGCTTGTAGGTCTGGGACGGTCTGTATTAGAAATGAAATGACCGTCTGCACTGGTCCTGCCTACAGAGACTCATTGTCCCTGAGCAAAATGGCATCCTTTCCTTTTAAGCGCAGCCTGGAAAACAGCACAGTTCAAAGAGCTGGGGGAAAGGCTGATCGTGCCTTTTAGCACTGACCTGGGGGAGGGCTCTGCTTGGGCATCCTTCCTACGGACAGAGCAGACACATTCTGAAGCGGGCATCATTGCATTTGCACCCAGTTTTCGCAAACACGGTTTTAACAGCGGGGAAGTGCTCTACCATAGTGCTTAACACTATAAAGCTTAACAATGGCATAAAACACACATGTAAGTGTACTTTAGCACATGCTGATACAATGGTAGCACTACATATAATGTAAAACGCATCCTTAACATATTTTTTGTCTTTTTGATTGTATTTATTTCTCATTACATTATCCTTTCTTTTTCTGGTACTGTACAAAGGAATTTCCCTCAGTGGGGATCAATTAAGTTCCATCTTATTTATTTCTTATTTGTTAATGTATTCGGATATTGATGGGTATCCTACTGGGCTGCGGTGTTCACCGTCTAATATGTATGTATGAGTCACACGTGGGTAATTTATCCTGCACTGACCTGAATGACAGTCCTGACTTGCTTTTTAGATTTCGCAGAAGGTCCAGTTGATTCAGAGGAGGAATCAGCCTACAGAGTAGGGGGTGGGGTGGGGGGGGGGGTTATTCTCAACAAATACATGATTACATGATTTTAACAAAATAACTAAACTTTTTCTTCTCTCAAATAAATGGGATACAGTACCCTGGATTGATATAACAATGTATAGTGCAATTAGACTCTTTTCTTGACCCATAACTGAATAAGCAGGATGGAGAAGTAATTCATGGGTAGATCAATAAGGAGAATCGGAAAAGCAAGCCAGCATCAACCTGATTTTAATCAACAACAGGATCACTTGAAAGTCAAGAGAAAAACAGAATAAGACATAAATAGGAAAACAGGATTACAGATATATTTGTCTTGAGAATTTAGATCCATGCCCTAGTTTTCCTTTTTTAAAAAGAATTAAAGTCCACTGTTGAATTACGGCAGCCTGTTTCATGATTTGTACTGAAAATGACATCAATAACATAATGCCATCGAGTCAGTACAACATGGAGACCTGACACCAGGCCTAATGCTTTGCTTTTTTCAGCGACGCTGTGCTATAAAAAATGTCAGTGTTTCCAGGAAAAATACCATCAGAACACTAAACTCTCACCGGCCACCCAAAGCCAAGGTGATTACGAACATTCTGGGAAGACACAATCTACAGACACGCAAGTAAAAGCAGGCTCTGGTCTGAGATACAAGCCCCTCAGATTACCTGTACATTGGGACGGATACAGCTCTCTCATAATAATCCCAGGTAGACTGCAGGTCCGTCCTTGTCAGATTGGTAGCATAGAACCTCCATGCCGCCTGGTTTGGAAAACAAACAAACAGAAGCGATGCTTAACCCCCATGAGCCAATCGAAAATCAACATCCACGTGCCCCACCAGACAACCCAGCTCACTAGCTGCGCGCACAGATACTAAAAGCATGTCTTACTCACTGTTCACTCAATCCACCTTCTAATTTGTGCTTTCTGTGTCTAATGCCAGCAGAGAGGAATCTTTCATCAAACTGAACGAGATTCCTGGACACGGTATTGATGGAACGTCAGTATGTTTCAGAGGAGAAAAAAAACACATCGTCTTTCAATGGGGCCTGATACATCGTCAATAGCTAAGGAAATACTGCATGCTACAGTACATACAATCTTTTGCCAGGATAAAGAAGCTAATTAAACTCAACAGAGATCGGCCTTTCACCATGGCTACCTGTTCCTTTGTTTGTAGGAGGGAAAATGTCCAGGTTCTTTCTGGGCACGTAAGTGAGGTCTTATGGATTGCCCTGCTTTGCATATCCCATGCAAAGTCTGCAGTTTCTACACAACATATCTTGTAGCAAAGGTGCATTATTCACCTGAATGAGGCCAGCTGCTGGATTCCGCCGCTTCTCAAAGTGCTTTTGCCTGTGCTGCTCCTGGACCTTAAGAGCAAAGCCAGAGCCCAGAATACCCTATGGGACAGAAAATAAGCTGTCTCTCAGAAAAAAACAGCATTGATGCCTTTTTACAGGTGCCAAGGTATAGAAGTCAATAACACTGAGTATAGGAAATGAGTCTTTGAGTGAATCCCCTACGTCAGGGGTCTCCAACTCCGGTCCTGGAGAGCTACCGTCTAGTAGGTTTTCTATCATACCCGGCTTCTGATGAGCCACACCTGTTCTCAGGTAAATTCCAGGACCAGGTGTGGCTCATCAGAAGCCAGGTAGGATAGAAAACTTACTGGATAGTAGCTCTGCAGGACCGGAGTTGGAGACCCCTGCCCTACGTATTACAAAACGTTTTTTATAAGGGTGTGAGTGATGGTGAGAGTATAGGGCTTTTATTCATCCATCCATCCATCCATCCATTTTCCATCACTTATCCGGGGTCAGATCACAGGGGCAGCAGTCTAAGCAGGGATACCCAGACCTCCCTCTCACCAGCCACCTCCTTCATCTCCACCAGGCGAATACCAAGGTGTTCCCAGTCCAGCCAAGAGATACAATCTCTCCAGCGAGGCCTTGGTCTGGCCAGAGCCTCCTCCCCAAGGAGCCATCCAGGAGGCATCCTAGATAGATGCCCGAAGCACCTCCATTGGCTCCTTTCAATACAGAGGAGCAGCAGCTCTACTTTGAGCCCCTCCCAAGCATCTGAGCTCCTCATCCTATCTCAACGACTGAGCCCAGACACCCTGTGAAGGAAACTCATATTGGCCGCTTGTATCAGCAATCTCATTCACTACCCAGAGTTCATGACTATAGGTGAGGATTGGAACGTAGATCGACCGGTAAATTGAGAGCTTTGCCTTCTGGCTCAGCTCCCTCATTACCACAACAGAACAGTACAGCGTCTGCACTACTGCCAACACTGCACGATCCATCTGTCGATCTCCTGCTCCCTTCTTCCGTCACTTGTGAACAAGTGAAATACTTAAACTCCTCTGCTTGAGGCAGCAATTTATCCCCACCAGAAAAGGGCAATCCACCCTTTTCCGGTCAAGAACCATGGCCTCAGATTTGGAGGTGCTGATCCTCTTCCCAGCTGCCTCACACTCAGCTGCAAACCGCCCTAGTGCATGCTACAGGTCACAGTACAACGTCTGCAAAAAGCAAAGACATGATCCTGAGACAACAAAAGTTGTGAACAGAATTGGTGACAAAGGGTGGCCCTGGTAGAGTCCAACACCCACCGGGAGTGAGTCTAACTTACTGCTGGCAATGCGAACCAAACTCTCACTCCATCTGTACAGGGACCTGATGGTGCGCAACATCAGACCCCATACCCCATTCTCCTGGAGCACCCCCCACAAGACCCCCCAAGGGACACTGTCGTATACCTTTTCCAAGCCCACAAAACACAGGTAGACTGGTTGGCAAACTCCCATGAACCCTCCAGTATCCTTGTGAGGGTGAAGAGATGGTCCAGTGTTCTATGACTAGGACAGAATCTGCATTGTTCCTTCTTGATCTGAGGTTCGACTAACAGACGGACCCTCCCCTCCTGTACCCTGGCATAGACCTTCCCAGGGAGGCTGAGGAGTGTGATCCCCCTAAAATTGGAACACATCCTAGTGTCCCCTATCTTAAAGACTGGGACCGCCTCCCCAGTCTGCCAGTCCAAAGGCACTGTCCCTGACATGTATGCAATGCTGAAGACGCGTATCCGCTAAGACAGCCCCACAACATAAAGAGCATTAAAGAGCTCAGGGTGAATCTCATCCAGCCCCGGATCCTTCCTGCTGAAGAGTTGTTACTACTTCAATAACCTCAGCCTCAGAGTCTTCCAGCTGTACTTCCTCTGAGGAAGGTGTATCAGTGGGACTTAGGAGATCCTCTAAATATTCTCTCCACCGCCTGACTATATACCCAGTTGAGGTCAACAGTTCTCCATCCCTGCTGTAATATAATATCGGTGAAGCCCTGCATCCCCCTCCTGAGTCACCTGATGGTTTGCCAGAACCTTTTCAAGGCCGACCAAAAGTCCTTCTCCATATCCTCACCAAACTCCTCCCACACCCATGTTTTTGCTTCAGCAACCACCAGAGCCGCTTCCTGCTTGGCCTGCCGGTACCTGTTAGCTGCTTCAGGAGTCCCACAAGCTAACTAAGCCCTGAAGGCCTCCTTCTTCAGCCTGACAGCTCTCTTTACTGCTGGTGTTCACCACTGGGTTCAGGGATTGTTACAGTCATCAATGACCTAACAGCCACGGCTCTGCAACGCTGCCTCAGCAATGGAGTCCCAGAACATGGCCTGTTCAGGCTCCATGTCCCCTGACTCGCTCAGGAGAGAGGAGAAGTTCTGCCGGAGGTGCGAGTTGAAGATCTCCCGGACAGGGGCCTCCGCCAGAAGCTCTCAGCACACCCTCACTATGTGTTCAGGTCTACCAGGTCTATCCACATCTTCCCCCGCCATCAGATCCCACTCACCATGAAGTGGTGATCAGTTGACGGCTCAGCTCCTCTCTTCACTCAAGTGTCCAAAACATGTGGACGCAAATCCGACAATACGATTACATAATTGTGGCCTAGGGAGCTCTGGTGCCAGGTGCACTTATGAACACCCTTATGCTCAAACATGGTGTTTGTTATGGACAAATTGTGATTAGCACAGAAGTCCAATAACTGATCATTGCTCGGATTATAATCGGGCAGGCCATTTTCACCCAACCACACCCTTCCAGGTTTCACTTTAATTAATTACCCACATGAACGTTTAAGTCCCCCAGCAGAACAATGGAGTCCTTTTGTTCCAAAGGAACATGGAGGGGTAGGGCTTTTTTTTGATAGGGCTTTTGTGAAAATTTTTAATGAATATTGAAATATTCAAAAATAAAATCATGGTACAATATTTAAGAGTCTTTAAAGTTTGACAGTCAAACAAAATTCCAGCCCCCCCTCCAAGGTCTCGTAGAAGTCTGGATACTCTGGACTGGTGTCCGGCACGTGCACACAGACAACAGTCAGAGCCCGTTTCCCGGCTTGAAGTCCAAGGGAAGTGACCCTCTTTGCACCAGGGTGAACTCCAAAACACTGGCACTGAACTGGGGGGGTATAAGTAAACCCACTCCTGCCTGGTGCCTGACTATATCTAGTCGGTATCTCTCTACCTCCTGCTCCAGCTCAGGCTCCTTTCCCACCAGAGAGGTTATGTTCCATGTACCTAGAGCCAGTTTTGGTAGCTGACAATCGGTCTGTCGAGGCCCCTGCATCTACATTGCACCCGACCCCCACGGCTCCACCTACAGGTGACGGGCCCACAGGAAAGCGGACCCTTATGGCCAGGCCCGATGCTGCCCCAGGCCTGGCTCAAGGGGGAGGCCCTGGTCTCCCCAGTCTGGGCAGGGTAACATGGTCCTGAATCGTAATCGTCTTTTTGAAGCACACACTCTAGCCGCTCACCTAGGACCAATATGTCTTGGGATGCCCTACTAGTGGCACCTGCTCTAAACAATAAGCACAAACCCCTCAACCACAATAAGATTCATGGAGGGGTAGGGCTTTTTTTTGATAGGGCTTTTGTGAAAATTTTTAATGAATATTGAAATATTCAAAAATAAAATCATGGTACAATATTTAAGAGTCTTTAAAGTTTGACAGTCAGCTTTGTTTTGGCCCATTAAAGATGAATTATAACCAAGACATCAATCTTCTGCTAGCAGGTGTCCAGTAGGGATTGGACAGACATGTACTTTTCAGCAGCATTCACTGTGGTTTGGGTCCCCATGTGGTTTCATTAGTGTTCATCGGGGTTTGGGTTTTTATTAGTGCTCAAGCCGAGATCAGGAGGTCTTTTATATTTCATTCATTTCCAGCAGAGATCAAGTGCACATCCACTGTTCTTCAACAGCATATTATAAACCATTAATCCCTAATAAGCCTGTCATTTTCATTTGCTTTTTGAATGAACTGGAACGTCTCATCACATAACAATGTAGCAATACTCCCTTAATACACGTCCCCAGTACTCATAGCTTTATGAATTCCATAAACCAATTCTATATCAATAATTACACTTTTTATATTTGCATCTCACATTTGTGTTCGCTCTACTGTACGTATTTAGACAGATATTGGCATTGACCGTTGGTAATGTATTGTTTATATTGTACAGTAATGCATAATGCATGGTTAAGAATTACACACGTACCGCTGGGAGGGCAAAGAACGAAACTCCAATGAGGGTGAAAGTCGCAGCAAGAAGGCGTCCATTCCACGTTATGGGGTACTTATCACCATAGCCTATTGTAGTCAGCGTGATCTGAAACCACAGAGACAGAAATGATTTATTGCAACACGTTCCCAGTAGGTAATAATGAAAGCATTTCTTCAATGGAGAAGACTGTGTCTGCACCACACAGTGCATTTCCTGGTTATGACATTCATTTAATTATTGTACCAGATGGACCTGACGACTGTTTTTATGTGATGCTTTGTAACTAGTCCTGCAGAGGACATTAAGTACAGTAAGAGAATATATCCCAAGAATACCGCCCAATTATAACTCAGCTTTTCGGGAAGCGGGGTCTGTCTACCCCCTCCCACTAGCCATCTCGTCGCGATTGACTCCTCATCGCCATAAAAATGACTTACAAGCCCCCACCACAGTGCGTCTGCGTAGGTTTCGAACTCCTTGTTGTCCTCTTTCTCCGCCAAGTAAACCAGGAAGGAGGCCAGAATGAGGCAGAGGAAGCCAATGTACCAGGCAGTGATCAGCTCCTGTAATCCATTTAAGGAACATGTCGTTAGTGTCACGCGGCGGTATATCTGTTCCCCTTTATTTCCTTACTTTATACAGCAATGATAGATTCAATGTTCACTTAATTCATTTTTCCGAATGTTTGTAGAAGCAGTTGATTAGTATCCTTCTCAATGGTATGACAGCCAATCCCTTCCTTAGATCATAAATAAACCACACCACAAGCTGCTCAATTAGCATGTATGTAAATTCTTTCAAAGCCCACATGTTCCACAAATCAAAGACTTGCTAGTTTGCACGCCGCGGTGGAACAATCGGGTTACGTGCATCAGGGTTAATTATAGGTACCACGCAAACCAATCAAGTGACGTTCGGTGTGTCTAGATGAGTGGGGAGCAGTTTAATGACTTTCATCCTTTGGGTATCTCCACTCCACACACATGCTCTCAAAGGCTATTAAAGAATATACTCAATTTTAAAGCTCACAATTATCTGCATTATTCATTCCACAATATTTTACAGTTCAGGCTTTCAAAACGGCTTTTAGGTTTAACACTGTGCACAGTTCACACAACACCAAACACGTTACTGTTTGTTTAAGTCTGTGATTCGGGACTGATAGCTTTTTTATTTTAATTTTCATGAGTAAGTCACCAATGGTCAGAGATAATCATTGTACATGTAGCTTTATAACTCGATAAGTGCCATCTTTAGCAGAATTGATATTTTCCTAACACTTATACTCGAATGTCTAATTACGCTTATTAGTCTTCGGGATATATATTAATAATAATAAGTAACCTAATAATTCATGACATTTCAACATTTATTTGCTATTAAATATTAATGCTTATTATTAATTATTAAAAAGCAAACAAAAACCATTCAAATCGTTCAGACCATAAACATATTGAGAGCTGAGGGAACACCACTGAGATACATCTGAATGCTTTTTCATGAAAGGGTATATTTTTTCACGAGTATATTTTTCCATGTGTTTCTGCCAATATAACCGCCTACTGCTTTGCATATTTAAAGTGACAGTCCTTCCCTGAAGCAAAGCACTGCGTCATCCTGGGCAATTCGAACTGGTCACATTCTGAGAGGCGTGCTACCAAAATCACGACACAATGAATCAGGAAATGGAAATGCAGAAGCCTGATACTTTACTATGCTGCTTTTTATTCTTTTTGTCTGTGTGTGTATGTGTGTGTGTGTGCACCGGAGACAGATTGTGTCATGCTTTGCAACCCTGCAACCAGAGATGATCCGTCTATGATTGATCTACATGACCAATCTTGATGCTGAAGATTCAAGATTTCAATTTCTCACATGCGTAAATGTATTGGTACACCAGCAGTAAAATGAAATTATGAAATTAAATTTAAAAAGTAGAAGGATAACAAAATAAAAGTAATACGTTAACAAAATAAGTACTAAAAATATAGAAATATATAAAAAGTGTTTCAAAAGTAAAGATAAAAAATGTGTAAGAAAATATTTTAAGTGCAGATATAGCCTATTTTGCTAGGTACTGTTAAGGTCCCAACGGCCTGTGAGCGTTTGCTTCTCCTCAGCCTCTCAGTCCCGACCATAAGGCTCTGGAGGCACCTACCGAAGTGCAGTCCCTGGGGAGGTTTATAGCCTGGGTGGTGAGTGTCTTTGACAACGCTTAATGCTCTGGACCTTCATTGCTGGACGTACTGCAGGCCCGGCGATTATGATCTGGTGATTCGCTCAGCGCAGCCTGTCAGTTTGTCTGCAAGCCCATCAAGGAGGGTGCTCCGCCCCATCGCCGGTTACCTTGCTGTGGGCGTAGACGACCGAACCCAAGAGCTTCCAGGTGCCTCCACGGCGATCCATCCGGATCATGCGCAGGATCTGAAGGAACCTCAAGCTGCGGATGGCTGAGGTGGCAAACACGTTCCCCTGGGTACCAGCCGCCAGCACCGAGATGGAGGCGATCAACACCATGATGTCTGGGAAGGACGGACATCTGATTCAGTTTACAGACACTGCGGTGACAATTCCGATAAAATGACTGTTCATGTTCATTTGGTGCCGTAGTGACCCAAATTACTTCCATAAAAAAAAAAAAGGTACACTAAATCGGGAAAAGCTATTCAACGCCTTGGGTTTCAAACCAGCAGCTAAATAAAGAGATAAAGTGTTTGCTCTGTGGGATTATTTTATTTCTCTGTGCGTCTGTAACTTTCAAACAGTGTTAACATTAACTGCACAGAAGCCAATGCCAGCAAACCAAAACAAAAAAAACCAGCTGACAGAATCAAACATTTAAACGATTACAAAATAAGACAAAGCGCTCTCCCAAGCTCTCGCTCCACCTGCTACCTTAGTTGGGAGGAAAATCCCATTTTAAGCTTGATGCATTAGTGCCGGCTTGGCCAGAGGTGATGCACGCCAGGCCCCGCCCACGACCCCCTGGCCAGACAGGAGCACCTCAGGGAGAGCTCCTACTTACCGATGACACAGAAGGGCTTGCGGGCAAACTTGAGCCGCCCCCTCCATCCTCGGTAACGACAGCAGCACCCCGCTGCCCAGATCCTTACAATGTACTCCACTCCGAACACCACAATGGTCACGATTTCCTGCACATACACAGAAAGGGCACTTTCGCTCAGTGTAAACCCAAGGAAGGACTCTGTGCTTCTGCCTATATAATAAAGCTGTTGTGTGCTATAAATATATCTATCCATCATCTGGCCACTTATCTGGGCTAGGCTGACGCTGGGGGAGGGGGACTGGAGCCTATGCCAGGCAGCATAGGGCACATGGCAGGGGTACATCCTACTCAGGATGCCAGTCCATCACGGGGCACATACACACAGAAACGGGCTATTTAGAGACACCAATGAGCTTAACTGCATGTCTTTGGGCTGGAGAGTACCCAGAGGAAACTGCTGTGACATAATGATGCTTTATTTGCCATCCGTAGAAGTACATTAGAATGCTTCTTTTCACGTATCCCATCATGCTCTCTGATACACACACACACACACACACATCTATATATATACATAAACACAGTTGAGAGCAAAGCCTGAGGTCTGAGGACAGGGTCAGCCATTTATCTGGCCCCCTGGAGCCTTTCAGGGGGGGTAAGGGCCACACTCAAGGGCCCATAGGACGTGTGACTATTCCGCTGAGGACGGGACTCAAACCGGGGACCTTACAATCACAGGCACAGAGCCACGCCACCCCCAACAGGGAGCACATGCGAATCCCACACACGCAGAGCACAGCAGAGATTCAAATCCCCCATCCTGGAGGTACAGTCCACTAGGCCACGACTGTAGATATTTTTTACAGTAAGCACAGCACATACATGAATAAAACATAAAGCCATTATGTCCTCTTGAAGGTGGAGTCATTGTTTAAATTTCAGGCCAGAGAGAAAATTACACCAAAACATTATTACAGAATGCCGACATACATACATTACGCTGCCTCTTACGCAAGAGCTGATACAGTATTTGCTTGCATTAGATTGTGCATCTACAGGAAAGACAACAGCAATATTTCAACAGGGTCACCTCTGTCAGGTTGCACTGGGGAATACATACCAGGATATATAGAGCATCTTCAGAGCTTTTTTCGTACTCCTTGATTGTTGAGAAGACGGAGAGGACGAGACAGGAAAAGACCAAGAGGAAGCTGTGGAGGAACAGAAGGGTTGTAAGAATCAGCTCACTGAAATGAAAAGAACACCAAAAATAACTTTCAAACTTTTTTCCAGAAAAAAAATCTGCTTACACATCTTCTGGCATCATCCTCAGTTATTTCATGCTCAGCCTGCTTTTGTAGTTAGAATTAATTAATAATAAAAAGAAGCACAAAAACTGCACCAGTCCTTAAGTGCTTAGCCAACATAGGGCTGCAGTGAGCCAATCCCTAGAAAGACAGGGCAGGTTCCGAATGGGATGCCAGTTCATCACAGGACACAGGTTCACACATTACAGAAACCCACATGTTCGTGAGAACACGCAAACACCAAGTATGGACACCCTGGGGCAGCAAACTGACCCCGAGAATGCCAGGTGACAGTGATACCCAGAGAGGTGCCATGCAACAGGTGATGGAAAGATGTGAAATAAGGTTCAGTGCTTTGGTTTCTGTCACGCGGCGTGGGACCCCACATGACACAGCGCCACAGAATTGTTGTGCAAATTGAGAGACACTTTCAGTGAATGCTGAACGTGCCCGCAGAAGGAGGATTTTGTGCTTGCGTGTGCCTACTCCGGACTTTTCATGTTACGCTGCATTGCTTCTTGCAATAAAATCAATGCTTCGTCAACGGCATGTTTAGGGTTGAGCAAAACGGCAATTCACCCGAATAATATTTCCAAAAATGAAAAAAAAGAAACAACTGTTTTTCCTGGGACTCCTTAAAGTACACTTTCCATAGCAGCAAAAGGTAAACTTTGGGGGGAAAAAAACACATTTTGACAAACATAAGAACATAAGCAATTTACAAACGAGAGGAGGCCATTTGGCCCATCAAACTCATTTGGGGAGAACTTAACTAATAGCTCAGAGTTGTTAAAATCTTATCTAGCTCTAGGAACCCAGGGTTTTAGCTTCCGCTACACTAGCAGGAAGACTATTCCATACTCTAACTACACGCTGTGTGAAGAAGTGCTTCCTCAAATTCTCCCACTAATTTCCACTTATGGCCACGAGTTCTAGTATTTAAACTAATATTGAAATAGCCATTTGGCTGAACAGCATCCAGACCTGTTAGAATCTTATATACCTGGATCATGTCCTTAGTCTCCTTTGCTCAAGGCTAAACAGATTCAGCTCAGCTAACCTCTCCTCATAAGACATTCCTCTAAGACCAGGAATCATTCTTGTAGCCCTCCATTGCACCCTTTCCTGTGATATTACCATTTAGTCTTGCCATTTTATCCATGAATGTTTATATTTATGAAGGTAAAACGTTGAGAACCATACTGCCAAGGTCCCCCATGCATTTTGCAACATAATGTACTTTCCGTGTCAATATTATTCAAAGTTAAAAGGGTAGGATGGTTATTAGTTAAGAAAGGCTAAAACCATAGACAGCATATTGTGTGACGGATCTAGGTGTCCAACTATAGCTCATTGATTTGAAATGCAAGACATGGTTCAATATGTCACACTGAGGACAGTGTTTACTGCCAAGTAATGTCACTTTCTAGGTGACTTAAAGTTTTAGGTGTGGAAACTTGCATGGACTCAGGCAATTTGGGTAAATTTGCATGAGGTAAATTTGAAAGAACATTTAATATTTATCATTTAATTACTGTTAATAGGGTTTTGCATAAATTTTGTAGATGGTTCATTAAGAGAGTAACATTCTCTCCCAGTGCATGAGGTAAAATGGCGGGTAGCCAAATTCATTAAAAGGCTGCAGACTGCCTCCATCACTCGTCAGATTGCACCAAATCTGGCTGAGATGGGGTTAGGGTTACAGGGTCCACCAGGTTACAAAACGCAGAGGTGGCGGGTCATGACCAAGGCTGCCCACCCATAGGGCTGCAAGCCTCGTCACGCACCAAGGAGAAGCGGCAGAGCTCTGTAAGTGATCCTCTAGGATAGCCGGTTAAATGTGAAACCTCTGTCAAACACAATCTCCACAAAGTTCACTTAGTGTCTCCTCATCTGCAGAGCCCATTCGGGATAATTCAACAAATATGAATGGACACAACATATTTCTCAAGAGATTACCAGTGGAGGGATACTATTATAAATCACAAGTTCTTTTAACTGTATCCTTAGTACAGTAGATTTTCTAACTATATATTACTTAGTTAATGCCATAGCTTAAGATACAAATCTGGGTTCAGAGAGTCTAAAGGACTACACAATGCAAGAACACATTAAAGGCAAATGATCTAGGTTGCTGTCTAAGATATCTATGTACCCTTTTACAAAAATACCCATTTCATCCATCACATATATTATTGAAATTATTATTGTTATTGTTGTTGATTTGTAGGCACACTCAAAAAATCATTGTGTGGATTTACTGGATTGGAGAATTTTACAAGGGTAAGTGATATCTTCATATGTGAGCACTCTCTGGAACAAAAGCCAAGGTTCTGTCCCAGAATTTTAAAAATATTCTTCTCTGTATCCAAAAGCAGTCTTGTACAGTATGAAAATTACTATGTGAAAGCGCTGCCCTAGTTACCACTGTGGTTTTGTTTATTTTTTATTTAAACTGCAAAGCTGAAAAAACCAAACGCCTGGCCTGGAGCTCCACGGGAATGAGGTAAGACACGGCTACTGAAGCAAAGCCAGAGGAGGGCGGAAAGACACGGCTACTGAAGCAAATACAGGGGAATGAGGGAAGCAGGCCCAATGCTCAGGAACAGCTTCACTTTTAATTACCGCTTCTACCCATGCTCAGAAATTTGTCTTAATAATAATGTTTTTAATGTTACATATTCATTATATTTATGAGATTTTCTTTTTTTTCGATAGTTTAAATCCTTAAACTAGGTGATGCATTGTATGAGATGGGTCTACTACTGTCAAGAAGGATGTGGACTCAATCCAATGCACCGAATGAGTGTTGCGCTTTGAGCTAATGTGCTAAAAAAAAAGGAGCTTTGACTACCCAAAAAAGAAAAAGACGACAGTCTGGGAACAATGTGTATCCACTCATCCTGGACTGGGAACATTTCAGGTCAAGATGTACAGGAAGAAATTCCTGAGAGTGGGTAGTGAGTTTTGTATGGTAAAAATATATGTCTATCAGGCCTGTTCTAACTTGAAAATAATCCTCTGTAAGAATAAGAGATCTCCTAAAATGAAAAGCAACAACGTTTAAGCAATGTTTTTATCAACATCCATGTATACTCTATGGCAGGGGGGGGCAATCTTATCCGCAAAGGGCCGGTGTGAATGCAGGTTTTTGCTGCAACTCTCTAATTAGGTCACTAATTAGAGGACTGAGTGGCTGAAGAGTCCTCACACCTGTGTTTGAACAGCTGACCTAAAGGTTATCACAAAAACCTGGATACGCACCGGCCCTTTGCGGATGAGACTGCCCACCCCTGCTCTATGGCCAGTCAGGTAGGCCACGGACAGCCTGCTCCTACAAACAGCAAATATAGTGACTGCAACTGAATATATACAGCATGCAGGAATCACCATTAAAAGACAAGTGATCTATAAACCATTTTGAATATGGCGTGATTGTTGGAGAAAGACGTTTCATTTCCAGAATCTCAGAAAGAGCCGTCCTCCTGGGACAGACCGCATGTCGAGTTTACAGCGAATGGTGTGATGAACAAAAAAACATCCAGTCAGGAACAGATCTGTGGCCAGAAACACCTTGTTAATGAGAGAGGTCAGAGGAGAATGGCCAGATTTGTTTACGCTAACAGGAAAGGCCACGAGTGCAAAAATAACAGCTCGGTACAATTGTGGTGTGAGGAAAGGATTCTTTGAATGCACAACTCATCTACCGCTGAAGCGGTTCAGGAGGCGAAAGTGGGTCCTACTCAGTATTAGCTAGATGTACATAATGAAAAGAATATTGTTGGTTCCATGTAAAAATCAGTGTCATAAAAGGGGACGTACTAAAGCAATACAATAAGAGAGATCTGGATGAAAAAAACAAGAAATAAAAGATTATTGTGATAAGTTAAAAATTTATAGTGCATTCCAATCTTGTCACCTAACTCCCTTCAAGCAGACAGACTTTTCACCACAGAAAGCATACATTCCACTACACGTGATTCTGCTCAGCAGCTCTTCATACCACTGTACAGTACGTCCGCAATGATTGGCTGATGTGAAGATCTTGCTGGACTGCAAAATGACCAAAATCAGCAATCAGTGGGAAATCCAGCATGAAGGATAAAACTACAGCCAGAGCCCTAATCCGGGGCTCCCCAAAAACGCAAAGTGACGCAATCCTGCATTTTTCTAATCCCCTAACATCCCAGTATTTTACATGACATTTTCTAGAGGTCAATTTACAGTTACAATGTCTACGAAATGAAACTGCTTGCATGAATAATTGGACAGTTTTAAAGTTTCCCCGGCCTCCCCATTCTGCCATGGCACTTCACTGTTACACGGCAGATTTAATGGAGCACTGCATGAGATCGACACCCAGTTATGCAGCATTTCTGCACTGCCTAAGTCTGTCATTCATATTCATAATATGACAAATCCCCAAGCACAGGCAGCTAATGGATGAAAGTAACATATTCAATAGATATAAACATAACCATAATCCCAAGGCCAGTCATAACTTCCGAAAGGTAAGATTAATAGTATGCCATAAACCGAACCTGTACAGATTTATCTTATTAAGTCTCATAGATTTCAAATCTAAGTAACTTAGATGCAAAGTAACATTTAAATGTGTTCACCTGACTGCTGAGAACATTTTACTGAGTAAAAAATGAACTATTTAATTGTGTAAAATGAAAATTTTATCTTAACCTAAATATGGAGCTTTAGGGGTTAAGGACAACATTTAAAACCAAAAAAAGCCATAGAAAAATACACAGATACCACTTCCCAATACTGGGCTATTCTTCTGGGGTCCATTTTGAGGTTTATTTGTAAAATCATTTCCATTAGCTGCGTATATACAGCCTGTGTGACGTTCATCATACCAGATACGCATATCATTTGAATCATTTTACATACCTTTGCTTAGAGTTATTGGAGATATTGAGGTAACTTTGGTGTTGAAATGTATTTATTTCTACAGCGTTACTGGCAGTGCCCTAAACAAGGACTTCTGTCATTTTCTGTGTCCTTCCAAGTCACTGGGCATTACTTTCATAGAGCATTTGTGGGACCGTCTACAGAAGTGCCAGCTACAGCAAATTTTACAGAGTTGGAGGAATTCCTCGCGGAAGCACAGTGCCAGATTCCTTCAAAACCATCCTAAATCTCTGCGGAGAGCATGCCAAACATGTCTGTGGCATCCTAGCGGGACACAGCAGCCCCACAGCTCTCTGAGTGGCATTTTCACGCCACCATCTGTCATGTTTTTATATTTTTCTGTCAGCAGAAGCTGGATATCTCTCACAAAAAAAGAGAAAAGAAAAGAACATGACATTGGTTTTCAAAAAATATCACCAGATACCTTCAGCCCCAGAATTTTAGCTGGGCTAGATCAGCTCGGACACACCACTGCTAACCGTCATGCTTCACACAAAATTTGCGAAATTCTTCAGCAATGTGAACAAAGTCACCGAATACGAACACGACCGGTTGGTTCTCAAGGTCCTCAGCTGAGGTCTTCAGACAATAAAAGCAGATTAAGCCTGAACGTGTCGCTGTGAGAATCTTCAAGAACGATATCAATGAAGATAAAGTGATCCAACCATGTACCACGATCTGATCCATTACTGCTCAAATTGAGTGGGACTCGCCAACAGTATCAGCCAGCAATGCTAATGATTCTGAACACAAGCATCACACTGATGATATCAAGCCTGCAGCAGATTATTCCTTCCCCACTGGGCTGTGAAGAGCTCAATGAGGAATCATGACTTCTGGTGTTTCTGTTTTTTATTCAGCAGATCATACATAGAGGCTCCACAATGACTACTGAACCTTGCTTGTCCAGTTCTTCTCACAAGACCCATACCTATACATATTTGGAGAAGCAATATATTTGGAGTAACAATGAAGTAATAGTGACTGAAATACCAAAACATACTATTTATTTATGGAATAAGTAGGTGTAAAAACATCATATGAATCCCTGAAAGTTAGTAAATAGTGATTAACAGTAAGGGGTGGCAGAGTAGTGCAGTGCTGAGGCAGTGCTGAGCACTGCTGACTCACACTTCAGGGTTTGCGCCCCTTGTCGTGGTTCCCTGTGTGCAGAGTCTGCATGTTCTTTCTGTGTCATCATAGGGTTTTCTGCAGTTACTCCCCATGATCCAAAACATGCTAAGGTTAACTGGAGCTGCCAAATTACTCACAGGTGTGCATGTGTTAATGCAATGGTGTGTATGAGCGTGCCCTGTGATGGGTTGGTGCCCTGTGATGGGTTGGTGCTCTGTGATGGGTTGGTGCCCTGTGATGGGTTGGTGCTCTGTGATGGGTTGGTGCTCCATCCTGGGTTGTTCCCTGCCTTGTGTCTGTAGACTCCACCCCCCCCCCACCCCCACCCCCATGATCCTGAATAGGACAAACAGTTACCGAAGACAGATGATAATAACAAATAATTTTCCAAAACTTAATGGCCGATGTTTTTAAGGACATAAGAACACAAACATAAGGCTCCCATATTTATCTGCTTAGCTTATGCATTTACTCAAAATCTTCCATCGCCGAATTTTTTCACTGGACGAATTCAGGCTAAATACCTTGGCTCAAGGGTACAACAGCAGGGCCCCTGCCAAGACTTGGGATGAGCAAAGCTCCTGCTGTTGTACTCTTGCGTAAGGTGCTTAACCTTAATTTCATTTAGGTATGATGAAAAATCACACAATTTCCAGAAACCATATAATCTAGTCTGTGATCTTGCATATTGGAAAATTAGACTATGCAATGAACAGACCTTCTATTAGGTTATCCTATGCTGCTGGGAATCGACACAACATTCATGTTAGTGAGTTGTGAATTGGCCATTCATGTTGATAAAGATGGAAGGATAATATTTCAACGTGTCAATATATAACTCATGAATCATGATATACAGATCATCAATTGAATTTTGCGTTTTTCTTTAATTGGAAATTCAGCTTTTTCTGTGACTGCAAAACCCCCCCAGGACCATAACAATTATCCTTAGGGACAGTAGCTCGTATCCCGGAGGTTGCTAGGCACAGTCACAATGCAGCATCTTTCAACACAGTGTCTGAGGTGACTGAATCCCTCTTCCTGAATATCCAGGTGTATAAACTGGAAAAAACCAGCACTGTGGCAGAACACATCAGTCAAGGAGCGGAGCAAAAATACTATGTAATAATATGAGTAATAATAATAATATTCTGGGGCAATATTACATATCCGTCCATAAAAGATCATGCCAGACGCTAAGTTGGCAAGCTTAATGGTCCATCTGCCATCACCTCCCTTGTACTGGTGTTCACTGCGTTTTCCCCACTGCATTCATGCCGTGAATCATGGGCCAGTTAAAACCTGACATGCCCTTGTTTGTTAAAGGAGGTAAATGTGTTACTGTGGTTTCCACTCCGTTGTTTCACTGCATTCTTCGTTGTGTGTTTCTAGCTGGCCGTTTCATAGTGAATCCAACAGCAGACAGAAGGGCGCCCCCCCCCCCCCGCTCCTCTAAGCGAACTTAAATGTCATTCTTGTAGCCCTTGTTTCTGATAACATTCCTTTTGTCAGCCTGTCAGCAGAATGCTGTCACCAGTGCGCACATCTCCCAAAGAAGGGTGTATGTATGCCCAGATCCGTGCCTCTGCGGTTCCCAGGTGATCACACTATCTTCCTGCCGGTTTATTCAAGTCCTCTGATTTCCATCCCGTTATTAAAAGATATGAACTGGTGAGTCTAAGACACCTTAGTCTAATCAAGCATATTGTGCACTTTGATATGAAGACTATAAGTCCACAAACTTTGCAGATAAGATCATCTTGATATTTCAATCCCTTTGGACACAAAACCCAAATGAAGAAAATCCAGCTGCTAAATACACACACACACACACACCTATATATATTGTGTATATAAAACGTTTGATTATGTGCCCTAAATTGTCCTAAGTAATAGTGATATATTATTATATAACATTACAAAATTTGACAAACAAGTGTGTATTGGTGTGTGTTTATCTTTCTTTTTCAAATTGTTCCCATTGATTGTGCACATATATTATAATGAGGGAAAATCTATCTCTCAGACACGTTGCTGTACATTATTACACCTCGACACAAGACGCGTTGTTACGCATGCAACTATCTATCTGCCTATTTATCCATCTCTCGGTCTGTCTATCGAGTTTTCCATCTATCCGTCTATTTTTGCTGCAGTAAACCTTGTGCCTCTCCAGTCCATACAGCGATCCCGGAGGAGCTGTCCAGTCGCCGTACGTGCTGAAAGAGACGGGAGCCCGAACAGCCGCGGCTCTCCAGATAGCCCGCATCCCCCCAAAAGATGTGGACGCACAGTCAGATCCCGCACTTTCCGAGGTAAATGCGCTTGCGGGTAGATTATCACGCACCGACATCGCTTCAAACAAAACGCTGGATTTTACGTACGAGGCATGGCTTATCCAGTCGTGTCTGTTTTGTTCTTCCCCAGCTTGAAACTGTGTTATAAGGCTAGCAATATGCCAGGACAACAGTTCTATTAATAGGCGTCAATTAAAAACTAATACTGACAGAAAATTACACATCAGCTATTAAGAATTTGCAAATTAACAAATGCATTACAAGCCCCAAGCGGTAATGTCTCTGGACACTGAATGAACTGAAGAAAACATCCAGTGTTCAACTAATCTGGTGGCTCAAAAAACAACCACTATACACGTTATAAATTAATGTCAAGAAAAATAGATAGTGCTTTGCCGCAGCGGCTTATTTGCAAAACGCGTATCAAACAACAGGTTTGTTCAGCTGACACAAAGCAACCATATTAGTTATTATGGACTTACATTACATCTTAAAAAAACCTACCCATTAGAAAGATAAATTGCGATGGGGGGGGGGGTGATTTCCAATCCGCATTAAAGCCAATTAATATATTCAGCTGGTTGAAAATGGTTGCAAGTCTAACAAAAAGCGGGTATATGCTTTACACACACGCACGCAGGCATTGTGCCGCAAGCCTTTGATGACTATAAACCGCAAGCGATCGCGGCGGCCAATGTGCAATTCTTCGCGTTTTCAGCGGCTATATACTGTACTCACACGTAAGCGTGGTATATGAACGCCCATCCTCTCGGTCTTTCCAGCACGTTGTAGAGGAAATTCTGCAGTCTTCGGTAGAAGGCATTTCTCTTCGGGGGCTTCCCTTTGCCCGAGATGCTGGTCCTCTGCTTGCTTAAGATGCTTCCTCGCTTCGTGGCGTCGGTGGCTGCGATGAGTAGCGCCCCATCCCTGCTTGTGTCGGTGGCTCCGGCTTCTAGCCCGACGAAGCCCACTTTGAGCTTCTTCTCCGCCGCCGGACCAGGGTAGACACCGCCGTTGCGGGATTTCTGTACCATTCTTAAAGTGTACGGTCATGGGTGGCTGGTGAGCAATGATCTCGATCCATCATCACCAGGTAGCACCATCGCATAACGGGGCGCGGAGCGTTTGCCGAAGACCAAGTCAAACGTGCGCGCGGCGCTCCCTCGCCTGCTGTTTCTGGAGAGCCAGGTTGCAATGGATACAGGAGATCTGCAGATCTTGTCTCCAATCTCGGCTGCTTCCGGCCACCTGACGGCTGAAAAAAACCAATGTATGGGAGAAATGCAACTTAAGTTATTCAGAAAGAATGTAATCCGCGAGAAAAAAATCAATAGCTCCCCCATCAAGACTGTACATCCTCCAAATGAAAACAAATCGCGACAGATACGCGGTTACACTGAAAGGAGGGTTCATTTATTTTAATTTTGAGTTTACTGTACAGACTATGTCAGATTTTTCTGGAAATTTACAATTTACAATTCAATATCTTAGGAACCATTAGAAGTATATCATTTGAGTGGTATTCGTATGTAATGTTAAAAGGAAAATTAACTATTCATAAAATATAAGTAAGGCCCTTTCTAGTAGTGTAAATTTAAAAAGGGGGGATTATTTCCTTTGAAAGAGTCTTTATTTTACCTCATTAGACCCGTACATATCATCTTGAATGTCAACTATTTATAAATGCTGCTAATTGTTCAGTTTCTACTCTAAAGGATGATCAAAATTTGAACAAGTCTGAAATAAGGTTTATTTTGCATTTGTTGGTACAATCAGGGGCGCCGTAAGGGGGAGGACAGCTAGGACGATTCCAAGGGCCCCTGAGCGACAGGGGCCCTAAAAAATTAGGAAAATAACTGGATTGGTTTGGACTGGGGGGCCTAATATGATATGCTTTCATGGGGCCCAAAATCTCTAGCAACGCCCCTGGGTACAATAAATAAATATTTTTTTTACTTGATGCCATTATATATGTGCTACAATCTATTATTTTTTCTTCTATAAAACTATCATTCTGATGAGATCTTTCACTGGAAATAAGCTTGTTTTTTAACAGTGCTTTATTAGTAGTTTTGAAAAGCTTCAGCATCTCCCAGCTGTTTATCCAGGTCAGAGTCTCCTATCCCAGAGGCAACACAGGTCAAAAGGTTGGGGTACACCCTAGATGGGATGCCAGTTCATGGCAGGGGTCATGCACACACTTAGAGATGTCATCACTGAAAATATTTTGGTAAACTCATCATTGTATGTGATGCAGCTTCCACCACCCGTGTGAGACCCTGCCCAGGGTTATGATCCATGAAGACCCAGCCAGACCTGACACTCATTATTCCAGCTGGGTTCAAGTTTTTAAGCGTAAACACAGAATGAGGTTATAAATAGCATGGTAATTATGAATAAATCATTTCATTGACGATATATATACAATGGTCAATGAACCACACTAGGACTGCAGTATCATAAAAGATACTGGAAATTAACCAGTGGATCAAAATGAATAGAAATTAAAATTCATATAGCTTTTCTATGACTAGTGGAATTTTAGTCATAGTTAGTCTTTAGGCAGTAATAATACATTTTTTGTGACTTATTATGTATCAAAGCATAGAAAATATAAGCATGAGTATGCTACCACAAGATAACTTTTTTACATCACACGAGGATGCAAGAAGGAAATGAAAGCAGAGACGCTCTGCAGCGAGCAAGCACTGAAGATGATTTCAGTAAAGCCTGTGAGAGCATCACTTGAGAAGATATTGAGCATCTGGCAATGTCTATGGATCGCAGACTTCAAGCCATCATTGACTGCAAAGGGTCTGCAACAAAATATTAAAAATGATGATCTTGTTTCATTTCATGTTAATCTATCCAGTTACTTTTGGTCTTTTTAATTTGGGGCACTGTATGTAAATGTGGTTACAGTTCCTGGACAGATCTGTCAATATTGACCTAAACACATTCAAATGAAAGCTATCACTTGGCTGTCTTTTATGGGACTGCCACAAAAGGTGGTATTAGACCCAGGAACACAGCAAAGAAACATGCATTTCTCTATTTTGCAATAATGTATTATGAGACATTTGTTAAACCTTTAATAATATTCCACTACTACTAATAATAATATAATAAACCTTAAAATACATTTAAAAGAAATTAACAATCATGTAGAACTATAACCTGAATACAAAAGATTAATTACAGAGATCAAAGATGTCATTAATTTGCAATAATACTGCAAATAATTATTTTGCATGGCAGATTGGAAAATAATTGAAATTTCATATTAATTAAATGCAAATCGATGATGTAATAATGAATACACTAGATATTTTTCAATGCACCCAATTCACGTTTGTGATGGTCCAGAAAGAATGACCCAAGAATTTTTTTTTTTTTTAAATGTTTAACTTGACCTCTCCTGGAGCCGACACCTTATCGTGGTGGAGGGGTTTGCGTGTTCCAGTGATCACAGGAGCTAAGTTGCCTGGGGCTTTATGCCCCTGGTAGGGTCACCCAAGGCAAACAGGTCCTGGGTGAGGAACCAGACAAAGTGTGGCTCACAAGACCCTTAATGATGAACAAAATATTGGATCCATGATTTCCCTTGCCCGGGCGCGGCCAGACCTGCACACATGGGGCCTGGTTGGGCACAGCCCAAACAAGGCATGTGGGTCCCCCTTCCACCTGTAGGAGGGGCCATAGGGGTTGGGTACAGTGTGAGTTGGGCAGTGGCCGAAGGCGGGGACCTTGACGGTCCGATCCTCGGCTGCAGAAACTAGCTCTTGGGACATGGAATGTCACCTCTCTGGTGGGGAATGAGCCTGAGCTGGTGCGCGAGGCTGTGAGGTGCTGACTAGATGTTGTCGGGCTCACCTCGACGCACGGCTTGGGCTCTGGAACCAGTCTCCTCGAAGGGGGTTGGACCCTCTTCCACTCTGGAGTTGCTCACGGGGAGAGGCGCCGCCGCGCCGAGTGGGGGTGGGCATACTTATTGCCCCCTGGCTGGGCGCCTGTACATTGAGGTTTACCGCAGTGGATGAGAGGGTAGCTTCCCTTCACCTTCGGGTGGGGGGACGGGTCCTGACTGTTGTTTGCGCTTATGCGCCAAACGGCAGTTCAGAATACCCACCCTTTTTGGAGTCCTTGGAAGGGGTGTTGGAGAGCGCTCCTCCCGGGGACTCTCTTGTTCTGCTGGGGGACTTCAATGCTCACGTGGGCAATGACAGTGAGACCTGGAGGGACGTGATTGGGAGGAACGCCCCCCCCGTTCTGAACCCGAGTGGTGTTTTGTTGTTGAACTTCTGTGCTCGTCACGGATTGTCCATAATGAACACCATGTTCAAGCATAAGGGTGTCCATATGTGCACCTGGCACCAGGACACCCTAGGCCGCAGTTCGGTGATCGACTTTGTGGTCGTGTCATCGGACTGGCGGCCGCATGTATTGGACACTCGGGTGAGGAGAGGGGCGGAGCTGTCAACCGATCACTACCTGGTGGTGGGTTGGCTCCTCTGGGGGGGAGGAAACCGGTCAGACCTGGCAGACCCAAGCATATAGTGAGGGTCTGCTGGGAACGTCTGGCGGAATCACTTGTCAGAGGGAGTTTCAACTCCTATCTCCGGCAGAACTTCTCCCATGTCCCGGGGGAGGCGGGGGACATCGAGTCCGAATGGGCCATGTTCTGCGCCTCCATTGTGGAGGCGGCTAACCAGATCTGTGGCTGTAAGGTGGTCGGTGCTTGTCGCGGCGGCAATCCCCGAACCCACTGGTGGACACTGGCGGTGAGGGATGCTGTCAAGCTGAAGAAGGAGTCCTATTGGGCCTTTTTGGCCTGTGGGACTCCGGAAGCAGCTGATGAGTACCGGCGGGCCAAGCAGAACGCGGCTTCGGCGGTCGCTGAGGCAAAAATTCAGGTATGGGAGGAGTTTGGCAAGGCTATGGAGAATGACTTCCGGACGGCTTTGAGGAGATTCTGGGAAAGCGGTGCAGCATAAACACTGTTTATGGTGGGGATGGTGCGCTGCTGACCTCAGCTCGGGACGTTGTGGGTCGGTGGAAGGAATACTTCGAAGACCTCCTCAGTCCCACCGACACGTCTTTCAATGAGGAAGCAGAGTCTGGGGACTTGGGGGTGGACTCCCCTATCTCTGGGGCAGAAGTCACTGAGGTGGTTAAAAAGCTCCTCGGTGGCCGGGCCCCGGGGGTGGATGAGATCCGCCCGGAGTTCCTCAAGGCTCTGGATGTTGCGGGGCTGTCTTGGTTGACACACATCTGCGGCATTGCGTGGACATTGGGGGCGGTGCCTCTGGATTGGCAGACCGGGGTGGTGGTTCCCATCTTCAAGAAGGGAGATCGGAGGGTGTGTTCCAACTATAGGGGGATCACACTCCTCAGCCTCCCTGGTAAGGTCTATTCGGGGGTGCTGGAGAGGAGGGTCCGTCAGATAGTCGAACCTCGGATTCAGGAGGAGCAGTGTGGTTTTCGCCCTGGCCATGGAACAGTGGACCAGCTCTATACTCTCGGCAGGGTCCTGGAGGGTGCGTTGGAGTTTGCCCAACCAGTCTACAAGTTAATGGATGGATGGATGTTTAACTTGATACAGTTTATTACCCTTTTAAACCACCTCACCGCAGTTCATTTAATATTATAGGATGATGATATTCATTCTGAGAGAAATTAGGGGTACCTCTTCTGTACATACACCACTAAAGTCAAGCTGTTACACAATGATTATACAACATGAATTTTCCCCAGTGTAATCTGGAGGAGGTGGGATGTGGTTTAATGATTAAGCCAGTCAAAGTGCGGTTTGGAAGACCTGGATTATTTATTGACCCTTGCTCTGGGGAAACCTAATAAATATTTCAGATGCTGCGTGAGAACTTGCAGTCCAAAGCAAACGTACAATACAGCGATCCAGAGCATCTCAGCAAACAAGCATAGAAGTGACTCCAGAGGAAATGTAGATTTTGTAACCTCATATGCCCAAACCAGTACATTCTTTGCTACTTTATATGACCATACCAGTGTAATGTTTGTAAGCTCACATGTCCATTGTAAACCTCGGAATTGAAACCATGGCTACTGAAACCAACATTTTCTGTAAATTTTTCACTAGAATGTGATTTCATCAATGGAACAGCTATTGCACACTCAGAACTGACCGGTCGATCACAGTTGCCATCCAAGAAACAATGGCCTTGCTTTATTATTACAGAAGCATAGCTGAAAAAAACGCACCTTCCTTTCATTTAGTTTCAGTGGCACAAGATGAAAGGCATCTGCTGTCATTGTATCAGGGGTGGTCATGGAGCTTCTCTGGGACATGATCCACGGTCCCACCCAGCAATGACTGTTTGTTCTGGGGTCACGCTTGGGGGTGCATCTGTTCGATAAAGAGCAAAATTAGCTGAAGGCAGATTGAGACCATGTTGCACAGCAATGTGAAGCTGAGGAGAGTATGACTGGCACTAAGAAATCACAGGTGCTACAATGATACTGATAATGAGGCATTTGTACAAATTTAGTAGATCTGTCCTGCTTAATAGAACTGAGCACTAGAAGAGTAATTTGCATTATGCTGGGACAAGGGCAGGGGCGGATCTATAGGGGGGGCAAGAGGGGGGCAGTTGCCCCCCTATTGTATGTCTTGCCCCAAAACTTTTCAGTTGCTAAAACTGATTCATTATAATCATTATAACGCAATCACCACTACATCCATAAGCTGCACTGAATCACTGAAACAAATAGGACATGGAGGGAAATCTGTAAATGCAATCTTAGATACAGCACCGCGCGGTGTAGAGAGGTGACGGCGCGAGCCTGCCTGCATGCACGTGCGGAGGAGAGCTGCGCCGCGTCATAAGGGGAAGTCCGAGCTTCGTCGTTTGAAGTTTAACCAAACACATGAATTTAAGTCAAAGTTAAATTAGTAATGGATGTAACGTATGCTAAATTAGCAATATATGCTTTTTATGTTAATGGAGATTCAACAATTAGAGTCCGTTACGATAATGTTAGCCAAAAGTAGGCTAAAGTCGCTCGCAAAACGAAGTTCAAATACGTGATATCTAGAAGCATTTTAGATTTAATGAGCTAGCTTTCGTTTCAGTAAAGACAAAAAGAGCTACAAAACACTGGTATGTTTGAACCCATAACGTTTAAGCAGTGGGTTGCCGGCGGGGACTGTAGGGTGGGAACGCAGGTTTTCGGCTTGGAAACTTGGAAACAGTCACCTGTGCCCCACAGCCATGGCAGATGAGGAATCCAGCTGTTCTCAGCATTGAATTTGGTGATCAGTGGTCATTGTCAACACACCACAGCACACAGTGCGCAACAATGAAATGTGACCTCTGCGTTTGACCCATACAGTATGTGACTTTCGTGACATAGCAGGGGGCAGCTAATTCAGCGCCCGGGGAGCAGTGCTTGGGGACGGTACCTTGCTCAGGGTACCTCAGTGGTGACTTACTGGTGGGGAATTTGAACCTGCAATCTTTCAATTACAAGTGCACTACCCTAACCATCAAGCCACCACTGCCCACAATAATAGAGCTGAGCACTAGAAGAGTAATTTACATCATGCTGGGACAAGGGCAGGGGCGGATCTATAGGAGGGGCAAGAGGGGGCAGCGTGCAAAAGCACTTAACTGGGATATGCTTCTGAGACGTTCTGCTGCACAACACAACAACCGTCGCCTAAGCTGTCTTCAAAAAATGTGGTCAGACAACCAGATGGGCAGTGCAGAGCCAGCAAGAGCTGCAGAGGTTTTTGCACGAACACTGATCTGTTGTCCGTTTATTAAGATAAACTTGGAGTAGTGTATATTACAGTTTTACTTGATTGCTTTGGCACATTTCATTAAACATACCTAACTTTCTCAAGACTATAAGAGCATTTCTCAAAACAGTTCATGCACAGAGCTAAGCACTATGGTTTAGCTGCAGTCAGTCAGTGACAATGAGAAAGTGGGAAACGATCTTGAGGCTCATGGTTA